TATGTGGAGATAGGCATCCCTTAAATCTAGAGTCGCTAAAAAGGAATCCTTTTGCAACAGATTCCGGAACGAAAAGATGGAGTCCATGCAGAACCTCTTGTACCTGATCGCTAAATTCAAGAATTTGAGATTTAGGATCAACCTGTACTTCCCTGACGGCTTTTGCACAACAAATACGTGAGAGTACAGGCCCTGACCCTTCTCCTGATCCGGAACCTGAATAAGCACTTTTTGATCCACCAACTCTCCCAGCAGAAGGCAAAGAGCGTTTGCTCGAGATGCGTTCCTCTGGAGATTTGTGATCAAAAAACGATTGGGTGGGGGGCTGCAGAATCCCAACCTGTACCCCTCTTGGATTAGATTGAGGATATAATGAGGGAGAAACCCCGCTAGCCTTCCTCCCACCCTCACACAGAAGTCACTGCTGTTTTGGAGTTTTGGAGGGAGGGTTAGTAAAAATACTCCCCTTTCCCTTGCCTTTCTGCCCCGTCCAGTGTTTTTTGGGCTGTTCCCCCTTCGTATTCTGACCCTTGTTTCTGGGCCCTTTAAAGAATCTACGAAAGGGCTTCTTCTTTTTCTCTGGAAAATACTTCTTCTTATCAGCTGTACGTTCTAATATGGCTTCCAATTCAGGCCCAAAAAGAAGATCGCCACTAAACAGGAGATTGCAAAGCCTCAATTTTGAGGCCGCACCTCCCTCCCAGGCCTTCAACCAAATCGCCCTGCGAGAAGAGTCGACCAAGGCTCCCGTCCTAGCGGCCATTCTAACCGAATCGGCTGAAGCATCTGCCATAAAAGCAATGGCCTTAACCAGCATTGGAAGGGAATCTATGATCTGTTCTCTCGGCGTACCCGACAGCAAGTGATTTTTCAACTGGGTAAGCCAATATTCCAGGTTTCTGTAAATACAAGTTGTTGCCAAGGCAGGCCTGAGACTTGTGCTAGCAGAGTCCCACGCTAGGTCTGATTTTCTCGAGACCTTTGACAACGACGCATCAATTTTAGGAACCATGTTCCACTGCATCGATGCGTCTTCATCAAAGGGAAAACGTCTCTTTAGGCTGTTGGAAAAAAAGAGGTTTCCTCTCTGGTTCAGCCCATTCCTTACAGATTGCATCCGCAAGTACTTTGTGCACCAGGAAAATTCTGGCTTTCGGCTGCTGGAGCCCCTGGTACATCAAATCGTGCCTAGAAAGCAGCACTTTTTCCTCCTGCATATCTAGGGTATCATACATGGCACCCAACAATTTATCTACCTCTTCTAGAGACAACTTATACTTAGAGGTAGGAGGACTAACGTCCCTGTCACTGTCCTCTGCCTGATGAGAGGATGCAGCGACCCTATACTCCTCTGGCTCCCTCTGACAGACCTCTCCTGACCTAGACCCTGTCTGGAGAAGATGAGCCTGAGCCAGAGGCCCGGGCACCAAAACCTGTGTTGCAGTTGGTCTCAAATCTGCTATCAGGGATCTAAAAGAGGAAAAGTTAGAGACTAGTTCTTCCCTAACAGTGGACAACAAGCTACCGCATGCTGAGGCAGATTCTTCTCTGCACACTCCTTCAATGCATTTTTGACAGAGTGGTTTCTTCCAATCAGTTCCCAGCTTCAAGGAGCAAAGAGCACATTTCCTTTTTGGGACAGCCTTGCCCTTAGAAACCTGGACCTGCAACAAGGAATAGCAGAAGAAGCAGAATTAACTCTCTGCTAACCGCATGTAGAAAAGTCATAGTGCCCCCTCAACACCCTAAGCCCAACACCAAGGAGCCCCAGGTGGAGGAAAATAGCTACATTCAGAACTACAGGGAGTGAATACATAGAAGTATCCACCTACCTGAGCAGAGCTGGTGCCTGAAGGACCTGCATCCATCTGTGCAGTCTGTAGAAGAGGAACAGGATCCATCTTGGGGAAAATGAGTACTCCCACCGGCGATCTCTCACAGAAAAGCCTGTGAACACGCCTCGTGCACCAGCCAAGTGACCTAGTCGGCCATCCGATCCGGCCGTGGAGAACCTCCCGGAATCCCCAGACCGGTGGCCCCTGACTGCTGAGCCACTCGGTCCCAGGATTCAGCCAAGGGGGTAACGCAGGATTCGGTGCTGGCCCTCCCAGGGCACTGAAGAGGACGAAGGATCCGGTGTGGAATCCCCAATTGTCAGAGGAGCGCACCGGCGGCCTAAGGTACTTCTGACCCTCACAAGGGTCCCACTGAGAGGGAACACTGGGTACCTTTCCCACATCCCCCCACCGTTCCGGTGACATGTCTCCCCCTGACGAAGGCCATCTCTATGCCGATGACACTCAAATATATCTTTCAACTCCACAACTCACCCCCTCAGTGTCCTTACATGTCACTAATCTACTAACTGTCACTAATCTACTAACTGTCACAACACTTCTTAAAACTCAACCTTTCAAAAACTGAGCTCATGATATTTCCTCTCCGTTCTTCAAAAGACCTTCTGCTTTCCAGCTCCCTCATCAACTCCTCCCATGCTCACCTCCAGGATTTCACTAAAGTCTCTCCCATCCTTTGGAACTCTTTACCCAAACCTATCCATCTATCTCCCACTCTGACTGCCTTTAGGTGATACCTTAAGACTCATCTCTTCAAGGAAGCTTATCCTACCTCAAACTAACCACTCAACCATCACGTTCTCAAACAACTCATCCCCACCTCTTTATGTATCACTTGCCCCTCCCTTTGAGATTGTAAGCCCTAACGGGCAGGGCCCTCCTTACCACCTTGCCTTGAATTGTACTGTAATGTGCCAGGATCCAGAGCACCTCCAGGTGGCGCCGAAGCCAGGTCCTCCAGTTCCTGTGCTCGCCTGCGAGTGTCTCCAGCAGCCAGGAACTGTCAGATACCCGACCACCACTGGGTGGTGCTGGAACCTGCAACTCCGATGCTCACCTGCGGGTGTCTCCCAGCTGCCAGCAATCATCCAATCTCTGGTGCTTTCTGGGAGGGTATTTGGCTCAGTATCCTGTCGCCCTTCCTTGTTGCCAGTTCCTGAATCCTGAGCCCCAGTATCCTGTAGCCCTGCCCTGAGCCCTGATACCTGTTTGCAGTTCTGAGCCCTGTTCCAGCTTGCTGTATCCTGTTGCCTGTACCCTGATCCCCTTGTCCTTTAGCTCCCCTGGTCTTGCCCAGCTCCCAATAGTTCCTTTGAAGCAGGGGGCCCCCGCTCATGTCTCCCACTTCCGCCCTATAGGTTTTGCAGTGCTAGGGGTTTTTTTTGTTTCTTTTATCTGCACTGTATCCTGTATGACTGTTAGTTTACATTCTTAGTTGATAGAACTTGATATATAGTGTCCTTCGCCAGCAGGTGGCGTATGTAATTTTGTTCTGTTTAGTTCTTTTAGGTTTCTTTTTTCTATGTACGGCTTCTGTCTTCTTTCCTGCTTCCTTTTCTCCCTTTTCTTTGCCCTCTTTCTTTTGGGTCCCTGTCGGGGTTGGCACACTTGTTCATTGCTCTTGTGAGGTTTTTTAAATGGCTAATCTTGCTGTATCATTATCTTCGCTAAACATCAGAGTCTTTAATACACCTCAAAAAAGGAATCAAATTCTGTACTATTTTTATAGACAGAGGACTGATATCCTCTTTTTGCAGGAAACATACTTTAAGCTAGGTACTTTTCCGAGGCTCAATAATAAATATTTTCCCACCTGGACTCATTGCCCGAATCCTGTAGCTATGTCCAAATGGGTCTCTGTTGCCTTTCATTGGTGTTTTCAGCACATAATTCTGCAGCAGCGGCTTGACACCTTAGGGAGATTTATTCTTCTTAAAATGAAGACCCTCTGTATATTTTGGCTATCGTGTATTTTCCAAAACCATTCACAGGTGCTGTTTCTTTCCCACCATCTCCAAACTAGATTCATTTGGACACCCCAATTTAATACTAGGAGGTGATCTTAACCTCTCCCTTGTGCCACGACTTAACTGCTCTACTAGTGGTAAGTCGACCATCACTCTAGCTACTCTTTCGACCGTTAGGTGGTATCTCAGTCAACTCCAGTTAGTTGACATCTTGGTATCTCAGTCAACTCCAATTAGTTGACATCTGGCGACTTCTACACCCTGATGATATGGATTATATATATTACTCTTTTTCTCATGGTTCTCTTAGTCGCCTGGATTACTTTCTCATTTCGTGCTCCCTTCTGGACTCAGCTCCTCCTTCTGGGCTCCAGTTATGGTTCAACCATGCACGGGTTACTCTTCGCTTGGGTACCTTCTTGCAACCCAGTAGAGCGTTTACTTGGAGACTAAATTATGTCATGTTATTAGACCCTGTTTGCAAATCTGCCATTTCACAAACCATTGCTGATTTTGTCACGATAAGTTTCATCCCTCCACCAAATTCCTGGTACTGAAATGTGTTCTTCGCGGTCTTTTTCTTCAACATAGCTTCTGCCTCAAACGAGAGAGATCCTTCCAAATTACATCTTTACTGAACAAAATAGTGGTCCTTGAGGCTGAAAAGAAGCGTGGCCTGCTGCGTATCACTTTGGTTGATCTATTTAATACTAGACGCAAGCTGCTTGGCCTTTTAGATCAGAGTTCTATTGCTGCCAAGGATAGGGCTTGCTCGAAGTTTGATGATTCTGCTAATAAATGTGGGAAGCACTTGGCTGCTTGTTGCACCCTACAGCAGCGCGCACCCCCGTTCACTCCGTCTCTACCTCGACCAATCTTAAACTCCATTTCAGTACAGAGATAGCTGAAGCATGCCGCTCTTATTATGATTCTCTATAGAATTTAATACCTGTAACTTTCTCTAACTTGTCTCCTTCTTACATAATTCTATGCAACAATATATTACTGACACAGCCCCCCCTAACTTACCTGCTGCTGTTGCTAAATCTTTTGATGCTTCCTTACGGAGGTTGGCATTTCCCGGACAATTAAATCTTTGAAGTCTGGAAAATGTCTGGGTCCGGATGGTTTTACTCCCGTTTTTACAAGACTTTTTGTCTCTGAATTGGCACCTCTTTCACACCGCACTTTTATTTTGGTGGATGAATCTCATCCCTTGCTGGCGGAGATGTTGGAGGAAACCATCATGGTCTTTCTCAAACCTGGAAAGGACTCTTCTCTTTGCAGCATCTATAGGCAGATCTCCCTTCTTAATGGCAATATAAAAATGTATTCTAAACTTATTGCTGACCGTTTGGCCCCTCAGCTTCCTTCTATTGTGCATAATGATCATGTGAACTTCATCCAGGGTAGAGAAGCTAGGGACAACACATATCTCATGTCCGAAAATGTGGTCTATGTGCTTGTCTGCTGTCTTTTGAGACAGAAAAAGCTTTTAATAGGGTTAGTTGGGAGTTTCTCCGTCTCTCTTTGGTGCAGATTTTGGCACTTTATTCTTTTCCTTTGGCCAGGGTACTGTAATGGAGTTAAATATAGTACTTTTCATTATTACTAATGGAACCAGGCAGGGATTACCTCTTTCCCCACTCCTTTTTGTTATTCGTATTAACCATTTAGCACAGGCTATCTGCAATAATCCTTTTATTACAGGAATTCTGATGGCCTCCGGTCACCATAAGCTATCTCTATATGCTGATTTACTCCTATATATACAGCAACCCTGTATTAGTTTACATTCCCTACTCTCGGAGTTCTGTAGGTTTGGTGACCTTAGTTATTTCAAAATTTACTTGTCCAAGACGGTGGCCTTGAATACTTCCCTTGACCATTTCTCCAGTTTGCAGGACAACCTTCCAATGGCAGCCTAGGTCCATCTCATATTTGGGGGGTAGCTATCTCTAGAGATTTGTCAGATTTATACTCGTGTAACTATATGCCTCTGCTAACTAAAATATGTCAGAGAACTGGACTCTTCATGACCCCTTAATTTGTCTTGGTTCAGGAAGATGCATGCGATTAAGATCGATATTCTCCCCAAATTTCTGTTTTTGTTTCAGACCATCCCTATTAACATACCTAGGACATTATTTCTCTGTACTTGCACCATATGGTCCAATGGATTTTCCCACCTCCAATACTGGATGTTATGCAGGGCTACCTTATTTTAAACTATATCCCTGGGCTGCCCTCTTATCTCATATATTAGACTGGTTTACCTCGGTTCCTAGAAAAGGATCTACTGTCATAGAACAGGATATCTCTGCCCTGGATTTAAGACCACTTCCCTAGATAGCCTCCCTGCCTACAATCTATAGGTCCCAGCTTTCTCCCCTTACACGAGCCACTCTGAATGTTTGGCACCTCAACAGGTCCCCTTTTCAATTGTCCTCTATTCCTAGCTCCAATACTCCCTTGTTTGACAATATAGCCTTTCCTCTGGGATGCACAGCTCTCGTTTAGGTGGTTACTCTCGCACCTCTTGGCCTTTTGCTAGAGACTTTGTTGACTCTTCAACGGTGTCCTTTCAACCTCGCTTGCCTTCTTCCCTCTGAATGCCCAACTGCTTACACAACGTTCAAATTTTGTCTTTCTGCAAGTCCTTGTCGGCTACTGGAACACCTTGTAGACTACTTAAGCACTTTGAGCAGCTTTGTACTTCAATGGCTCCCTTAAAACACACCCTATCTGTCCTGTACAAGCTATTGCAGGGAAAAGTGACCTTCAGTTTCAGTTGCCTTCTTATGTTAGGTCGTGGCATCAGGAACTTTGTAAAGTTCTTACGGAGGAGGAATGGGACACCGTTTTTTTATTGCACTCAAAAATCCTCTATGTCCCGTTATTCTCAGGAGTGAAATGTTAAAATCATTACGTGGTGGTATAGAGACCCGGTCTCTTTGCATCGCATCTATGCCAATATTCCTGCTGACTGTTGGAGATGTGGTGGGGAACATGGTACTTCCTTACGCATATGGTGTGATTGCCCCCTAATACATTGCTTTTGGCTTAAAGTTTTTGCTTTCTATAATGATCTTTATGACATCACATTGACTCCCTCTCCAGATATCGCCCTTCTCTCCATACTCCCTGGCTCCAGAGGGACCCAGAAAAAATGTCTACTGAGACGTCAGGTGATACCTGCTTTTTGGAAAAAGAATGTAACTCCACTAATTTCCCGCTGGGTTTCCACCATGAATTATATAATGCACATGGAAGAATTATTAGCTATTGACTCTGATTCCTATGACACATTTTACACTCTATGGGCGTGGATACACTTTTCTACCTCTGATGATTTGAAGGCTAAGATCAGGTAAAGGTTTGTATTTCAGTGGCTACCTTCCTGTACTTACAACTTCCAATCTTTTCCCCGGTGGGACTTTCTCTCTTTATTTTTCCCTACTTGTGTTATTCTATGTCTCCTGCTTTTCTATTTCTTTATTCTTTGTTGGAACTTTTGCCTTTGACATTTCTGGGCCTATTCACATGTTTTATCTTGTTATTTTTCCTTATGTACTTATAGTTTAGGTACTGATGTTGCCCATTGCAAGTTGGTGATTGTCTCAGATTGGCCTTGGCTACATAGACTGACACCAATGCATAATTCCTCTCACTGCACACACTCGCTGAGTACTTCCTGTTGTATTCCACTGAGTAATTTCAGCTTTAACATTGTATTCCTGTAGGGCCTTTCCATGTTTTTCTGATGTTTGTGTTTTTCTGGTATCTGTTTTTTTTTTTTTTTTCATGCTGTGAAATCTTAATGAAAATAGATTCAACCATAAAACCTAACAGGGTTTACAGCAACCATGTCACTAGTATAAAGCTAGCAAATAATTAAATCACTGTCTACTGGACACGTGAGGAAACAACTTATGCTTTTACAGGGGGCAGTTGCTTTATATCCGTTATACATGATATACATAAAGTATTACAGGTTTATACACATTGCTGAGAGGGCTGAGGAGGTACGTATAGGGTTAAAGTTTAAAGGTAATTGGGTGTGGGTGTGTGCATATACATATATATATATATTTTATAACTATCAAATATAGAATTTTAGGCATAGCATTAAGGTATAGTAACCAAAGGGGCATAGTAAAAATAAAAACATAGGGATTAAGCATACCTTACCCTAAGCCAAAGGCGTCTAATATAAATTCAATTTAACTTACCACAGGACAGTAGCATAAGAAAAAACAAAGGGCCATAGCATAATAAAGCGGAATTAAATCACACAGCCAGCATGAATATAAATTAAAACAAATGAAAATTAACTACAGGTCCTTAGTATAATAACAGGTCCTTAGTATAATAACCCTAGTGAAGCAGTATAATCTAACTTAAATTATACACAGGACAATAGTGAACTATAGTAAACGATAAACTGAACAAAAATTGTAACACAGAGTAGATTAAATAAATTAAAGGCTCCAGTGAAATAACCACAGTGCTGTAGTATAATAAAAATAAATAAATAAATAAAAAATAAATACAAATAAAATACAATTAAACCAAACAGGGTATCAAATAAATAAGGGGGAAAATGTCTTCCATGAGTGGTTGTGCAACAAAGTGCACATCGTGCGCAATGTATGCGTTCCTTGAACAGGCGTTTGAGGGGGAATACACTTGCGCTCGATGTGAGCGGGTTGTTTGTTTGGAAGCCCAGATTCTGGATCTAAGCAGCAAACTGGCAACACTGAGGTGCATAATCAGCATGGAAAAGAGTCTGGACCTAACGCACCAGGCTGTGGTGGAGGGGGGCCCAGTTGAGACGGGGGGCGCGGAGGAGCAGGTTCCCGAGGAGGGGAGCTGGGTCACTGTTAGAAGACGGGGTAGAGGGAAGAGTGCTAGGGAGGTCAGCCCTGAACTGGTTAACCCCAACAAATATCCCAGGTTGCGTGATGTTGGGGATATTAGCTCAGTGGTGACTCTGCTGGAGCGGGTCGCCTCCTCTATTGGGGGTGGGAGTGTTTGCTCCAGCGAGGCGGGAAGTCGAATGGAGGATCAGGAGAGGCAGATCCTGGTGGTGGGAGACTCCATCATTAGGCGAACCGACAGGGTAATCTGTCATCAGGACCGTGAGTAACATCTGGAGTATGCGGTCCAGTTTTGGTCACCAATACTCAGAAAGGATGTCCTTGAGCTGTAAAAAGTCCAGAAGAGGGCAACCAAACTCATTAAGGGGTTCGAGGATCTGAACTATGAAACAAGGTTGTTAAAATTAAATGTGTTCTCGTTGGAGGTTAGGAGATTAAGGGGGGACATGATTTTTATGTATAAACTATTCAAGAGTGACAGCAACCTCAGTAACAAACTGTTTACTGTCAGCTCTGTAACAAAGACCAGAGGGCACAAGCTAAAATTTTCACCACACAGGGCGCAAGGTTAAGGTTTGGAACTCGCTGCCACAGGAAGTGATTTCAGCTAAGAGTGTTGAATCATTCAAGAGACTCCTGGACGAGTTCCTGGGAGAGCATAACATACAGGGGTACAGGTATAGCTAAGAGAAAAAAAAAATCACACATGGACTCGTACACATGCACACATCAGCTCATAAATGCATACACACAATAGGTTGGACTTGATGGACTTGTGTCTTTATTCAACCTCAAATACTATGTAACTATGTAACTATGTAATACTAGCATCAGGATCATATTAACCCTTCCCTACAAAACAAAAACAATTATTTGGCTATTTTAACACCCAACTCTGGTCAAAATGAGAAAACAAAATCAAACCTATAAAGACAGGGAGAAATACAACTTTATGCAAGACCCAGTACTGTACGGGAATAGTGCTAACCCTTACCTAATTTGGCAAATGGACATACATTTCTCACAGGTCTGACAACAAAACTAGTGCTTATAAATGTCCATACGTTCACTGCCGCTTCTGACTGGAAAATTTGAAATTGTGTCATTGCACAGATACTCTCCCCATTCAGAAGCTTTCTTCGTGGAAAAACAGCTGAATAGTTGCTTTTTTGAGCTTTGGGAGCACACATACCTTTATACAGTACAATTCAGACTATCCTCTGTATATAATAGATTACTCAAAGACAAGTTTCCACTGAAATTAGAAAACTTCTTTAACTTCTTCAGTACAGAGTACAGTAAGAACTACATCACTGATGCCCCCCACAGTGCCCTCAGACTTTATTGAATTTGCACTGAAAAGGTTACTCAATATATCTCACATTTCCACTTAGTTAGCTCTTGATGGAGAGATGTTAGACAGCTTGAGTAAATCTTTTGTTTCTAAAAATGCATAGCCATTAAAATAAAGGTGAAGCACAGTAAGGGAGGGACTACAACATGCCTGAAGGGTTCTTCTTTGAGAAATGTGTGGATAATTTCCAAGTGACAACTGTTTTTTTTCCCTATTCAGGGATTTTAATCTCTTTAGCCAGTGTACTTTTTGCCCACAGGGGTCACAGTACTGTAATAAGATCATCACAATAATAACAGGGTGATGTTACGGTACAGCTATAGTCTCTGCACTTGTTAAACTCTCTATGAGGATGCTTTATGAGTATGTAACAATAAAAGTCACAATTCGAACCCTATGCTGATTGAAACTGCACTCTCTAATACCCGTTTTTAGTTCTAACGTCTAGCATTACCTCTAGATGTCTTTAAAGCTCAACTCCAGGCATAAAAAATGATTTTCACTCCACTCGCTGATTGGAATTCTGTCATTTCTATTATATAAAAAACCAAAAGCCCCAATTTCCTACATTAATTTGTGGAAATGTGATAGACAGTTCTACAATCTTTAACCCTGCACTAAGGGTGGGTACTTTTGGCAAGGCCCACTTCACAACTTGATTTTGATTTTCTATTTGCTAGACAAGAAAACTGAACTGATAACAGTGCTGGAGTCATGACACAAGCTGCGGCAACAAGACCAGTCAGATGCAAAGATCCAAGCAGTTTGCAATAAGAAGTCTCCATTACTACAAGAGGTGTTTATATAAGTAAAAGACTGTCTTAGAAACATATAAAAATATTAAACTACAGAATACCTTGGAGCAGACAGAGTGACAAACAATAGAGGGTTATTCACAAAGGAGCCAAAGGATTAAGCCAAAGCATTGGCTAATCCTTTAGCTCACTTCGGCTGCTGGAGCCCTTCGGTTCAGCCGAATCGAAGGGCTGCTGTACGGACTATTCACAATAGCCTGTACAGCAGCTGAACGGCTCAGCCGAGCCGAAGCACATGTGTTCGGCTCGGCTGAGCCAAAGACACAGCCGATGCAGAGAGAGCTGTCTGCCACAGCAGACCTTTCTTCCCGCAAATGTAAACAAATAGGCGGCGCTAGTGGTGACATCACTGCTGGCTCTGCCTATTTGTTATCATGCAATGACAAGCTACTGTTCTCAGGTCATTTGAGGACAGTAGCCTGTCATTCTATGACAACAGATGGGCGGAGCCAGCCATGAGGTCACCACTAGCTCCGGCCATTTGTTTAATTTTTGTCGGCTTTTGTCAAACAGGTCATTCTGCAAAGGCAGTTTGTCGGGTGGTGAGTTTTTTTTTATTTTGACAAGTCGTCGTCGTCGTGCACAACGCTGGACGTCATGATTTACCTTTGGATTATGCCGTTGGATCAATTTGTGGGATTTTTTTTTATTAAAGGTCAAATATTTTTGTTGCTTTTCTTTTAAATTAAAGGAGTTTTTTCTGAATGTCTGGTCTGTTTATTTACAATTTACTTTAACCCTTTAGTGAATTAGTAGGGGTACAAGTACCCCTTACTCAGTCACAAGGGGGGAAAAGCATCTGGGTGTCCCTTAATTAAAGGGGTACCCTGATGTAAATAAGCCCCCCTGCCTGCAGACCCCCACAAACAATGGGTCAGGGATTGTGGGGAAGAGGCCCTTGTCCCCATCGGCACCAGAACAAGGTGCTTTTCCAGACCTAAACGGCCTTGTATGACTTTGGGGGAACCCTAAAATTTTTATTTTACTTTACTTGGGGTCCCTCCTAACTTTCCTACTAGACCTAAGGGGTATGGTTTGGGAGGGGGAGCTTGCACTGTTTGTTTTTTTCTTTTATTAACTTCTTCACTTAGGCTCAGCTGAACATGCTGAGCATGTTCGGCTGAACCGAAGGGAGCCGATGTAAGGCTGATTTTAGCCGATGTACGGCTGAAATCAGCTGTTCAGGGCTGAAGTGACTAGTCGAATGGCATTCGATTCACTTCACTCCGGCTCTGTTATTCACTCGACTGCCTTTGGCAGCTTAGTGAATAACCGCCAATAGTGTTTTTTTCCCATACCTGGAATTAAGTTTTAAGAGTATAGTTTAGAACTAAGCGTGTTACACTTGACATTAGTACTCTCAGGCTAGCCTTAAACATAAGATGATTTTTCACTTAATCTGACTACTATTTACTGACTACTGTTTACAGTCAAGAAATAATCTGAGGATCTCTGCAGACACTTCCTGGCCATTTGATCTTGGGGGGGAAAACTGATCGTCTGAAATTAATTTTTCTAGAAAATCATTATTGTCAGATGCCGTATCAGCAGCAGGGATGTCTGCTCAGTGTATAAAAATTAGGGATGCACCGATACCGATACTGAGTATTTGGACGAGTACTCGTACTTGCCCAAATGTTCTCGATGCCTATCCCAATACTGGAACTTCCAGTATCAGGAAGCTAGGTGGCGAGTCATTACACGCTGCTAGGCTTCCTGATTGGTCCACTATGCGAAATTCGATATGTGCTTATCTGTTTTGAGTCACATGTTTTTCCATACCGGGAGGTATGTGATATTTCCTTTGCTCCCAGTAGCTGAAAGAAATTCTGGAGAAACAAGGTAAAGCATAAACTGCTGGGGGGAGTTTGCCAACACAGAAACCTAGTCCCTATTCCCTAGCTCCCCGACCAATCCTAGAACACGCCATCCCATTACTCTCTCTTTGTGGAGACATCCTGCAGTGTCTACATTCTCGCTGTGGAAATCTCCTCTGCCACTGGCAACATCTGTGCAGTAAACTCCCATAGACCTGAGTGAAACTGTAGTGCTGCATCTGAGAATGTTTGCAGCTGCTGTCACACAAAATTCAAAAGGTACTGCTGTGCAAACATACAAACAGGTTATAAGCACATTAAAGTAATATCAATAGATACAGCAGAAGCTGTAGAAAACACCATTACCTAGATATACTGTGTGTGCGTATGTGTATATATATATATATATATATAAACAGAGGACATATAATTTAATGCATATGGGGATTTTATTGCCAACATCTCAACCTTGTATTGTCCCCAATTTTGTAGTGCCCAGATTTAGATCCCTTTAACCAAGTGGTATTTTCTTTCTCCTAAGGCATACAAAGATAAGTTACAGTGTAAAATCAAACAGGAACATTACATACTCTATACGTATTTGCTTGCGACAGGGAACAGTGTTCCTCATGCAGGTTCCACTTAACGGATCAACATCTTCGACAATAACAAAAGGAGCTTCCTCTAATGTTACTATGCTCAGATGCTCATCTTTATGTTCCTCGGAGTTTGGGTACAGGTCAAATACTGGCCACACATAATACTTCATTTGAAGACTACGATCCTTGTACTTTCCAACCTAAAAAATGACAAACAAACAACAAGATTTAGTATTTAAAGCAATAATGAAAACTTATTTCCAGTATTTCTTTGACAGATTAATTAGGCTAAATACTGGACAGATTAAGTTACTAATTATGACAGTCCTGAAGTCCAACTGGGGTTTTTCAGGTACTCCCACACCCATTTTAATAAGTCACAGTTTCAAAGAAGGCCACTTATAATGTCCCCCTGATGCTATAAAGAGACCTGAAAAACATGACCTGATAATGGCTCTTGAAGATTGTTGTGGGAGACACTGAGCTGAGCAAAATGTGTTGCAAATGTAATGTATTTTTCCCACAAAACAGATATTTTTAAATGGTTTGTGTTATATTCCAAGCATCACATAAGGAAGAGAACCAGAGGCAGAGTGCTTCAGGCCTAAGGATCCTTGATCTCCATGTTGATAAGCAGCTGTCAGTAATACAAGCAGCAGTTTCACTCAAAAACAAGGAAAAAAACTGTGCATGTACCATTCTTTGCCATTTTTGACCATGCTGTTTTCATTTCTGCTTGAGTGAATGACAGCTGAGCGTCAGAACTCTTGCAGCTGCTCCTCTCAAATAAAATAGAATTATTTAAAATAATAAACCTGCATACTTGTGCTTTTTGTTTTGTTTTTTTACAGTAAACTAAAACAGTCCCCATGAAATACTGTGTAATAACAAACAATGGCCAATATGTAATCTGTTATTTATTGCTTTTACCACAATACGCTAAAATAATTCTAACAGTGAGTGATCACTGTTAGAAGCATCTCTTTTCTTTATTTTTTTATTTAAAAAACATTTCTTAATTTTAATGAAAACAATTGCATTGCAATAAAATACAAATGTCATGAAGCTTTATTGTGTGTTTTTCCCCTTTTACACTTTGCAGCTTAAGGGCTTGTTCACACCATGTCCGGATCAAGTCCAGACCGGAACAGTTTGTTCTCAGACCACAAAAAGCATCCCAATGTATCCGTATGGTATTTCTGAGCTGTGTTCACACCAGTGCAGTCCGTTCTGGACCAGACAAGAAAAAAATACTGCTCGTCTCATTTTCCCTGGTCTGGAATGCATGGAAAAGCATAAAGTGCATGTAAACGCACTGGGCCGCATCTGAAAGCCCATTTTAAGCTAAGAGAAAACAAAAAGAAAAGCCCGCGAATGTGGCAAAATCACGGTAAAAAGGCGGCAAAACGCAATGCACCGCATTCCAGATCTGGTCCGGAAAATTGTGTGAACCTGGCCTAAGACCAGCCTGTTTTATTGTTACTTGTTGCTTTCCATGTCAAATTTAGAAAACAAGACAAGTTAACCCACAAGAAGAGGGGTCTATTTACACATTTTTTTCATCCAAGGTTCACACACTCTTATTAGTTTACATTAGAAATGTGTGACTCTTGCATCAAAGTTGTGCAAATCTTCAGTGAAAACATTTATAAATAGACCCATAGGTGTCCAGAATGAATGAAAATACAGAAATGGGAAAATGGAGCAAACAGTTGAATATATTCCATTTGTATTATTCATTAAATTATTATAAACGTTTTAGCAAAACTAAATGTCAGAATAGTAATAGAAATGTGTTTCTCCTGTGGAGGACATAATATTTACTCAACATAAAAAGGTATGTATGTATTTAAAAAGCAGGAGCTAGAAGAATCCACAATTGATTTCAATGTCTAATATTTGTTGATTAATCCCTTCTTCCATGCAGATTCCTTACTGCATTAGAACCTTTTGTTGTTGTTACTGTTCTTTAATGGCTTTGATAACAGTCTTGTTTGAAGAATGTCCCAGGAGGAGCAATTAAAATTAACAGGGAACAGCTTGTTAGGATTTTGTGCCAGACTGGCAAGGCAGAGGGAGGCGAAATACAACAGGTTTATGGTTATGGCAGAGATTGTGACAAGGACGCTATATTTAATCAAAATGTCATGTGTAACTGTATATGTGTTTAATATTTAGAATATAGGATGTGTTTGTCCAAAATAAATAGTCTGCTCAGTTATGTAAGATATGCTAAAGATAGTACAGACAACAAAATTGGGTGCTTCAGCTGAGTTATTCTGCAGCTTCAGAATGATAACATAGATGAGGACAGAATTAAATCTTCTTTGCAGATTTTAAAACTAGTACTGGGGATAGTGGAGAGCATAGTAACAATTAAAGGTATGTGCAATAGTTTGTATAATTTAATAAAATGTTGAAAATTTTAAGAAACCTTCCCTAGCGAGGGAAATACCCTCTTAAAAAGTCATCCCCAGAACAAGTGTCTATTTGTCTTCTATTGCTGTTCTGGTGACAACTAAAAATGGTGGCTTTGCCCTTGTTTTCTCTACCATTGGTCACCGATTAGTTTTGTCATCCCTTTATGCTCCAAAAGGTCACCAGGACACACACACAGAGTGATATTCCCCAATAGCTTCACAGAAAGCAATAAAAACCTGAGGGTTCTAACCATTCACCACTCTTTCAGAAAATAAAAGGTTTGTCTTTAGGTACACTTTAAGAAAGGGGCGAATTGCTATTTAAACGGTGAAAAAGATAAAAGAATATAGCACCTTCAAATAACGTCTTATACAAACCTTTATTAGCAAATCATGTACAACTACATTAGATTTCATTTGTATATGTCAGGCATGTCAAACTCAGATGAAACAGTGGGCCCAATTTAGAAGACTACATTTTTAGGGGACCTCATTATGCCTACCGAGGGCTGCACCTACCTAATTCCAGAAAAAGATTATGGCACTTCATAAATTCACATTAAAGAAACACAACTGCTACTTCCAAGATTTAATCAAAGAGAAAGGGGACATAAAACATTTACTGAAGTACTGCATTAGCGTGAGAGTTACTTCATCTCAGCATGTCAGGTCTGTGCTCTGAGCTGCGCATGCACAGTTAAACGAACAGGAATAAAAAAAATTGCCAAACGGTAGAAAGAAGCTTTTATGGCAGAAGAGACTTACACAGTCTCTTCTGCCATAAAAAGCCTACCAATCAGCATTTGTTGGAACATAAGGTGATGTAAAGTGTTTTAGTGTGATCTGTTCCACAAATAGCAAAAATACTAAATATATTATCCACTGGTTTGCAGGGCTATTAGACCTGTTTTGTTTTGGAATTCAATCCCCTAAAACATTTCAATGTGATTTCTTCCACAGGAAGTGATTTGCTGTCCCCTGGCTTAATTTATACCATTTGGAATTAAAGGAGAATGAAAATCACTCATCCTCATAGTTCGAGCCAACGCGTGACAACGAAACTGTCACACGTCGGCTCAATAGGTTGGGAAGTGAGCGAACGCATACCATTGCTCGCTAATTTCTCGATCATCTCCCTGCAGAGAGCTGTGACTGTCAGTCCCTCCGTGCAGCGCTGAGTGGAGGAACGGATGGGGGAGGGTACAGCTAGATTGGCAGAGCCAGCTGGGTGAATCTCGACAGTAATGTCGGGATCTGCCCCGGCTGCAGCTGTCTCAGTATACTGCCAGCTGTTGCTCACTATATACTGAGCTTTGGGTCATGGCGAGGACACTAGTATATGTCCTCCCGTGACCCTTAGGAGAACTATGGGGAAAAACACTTACCCCATAGTTTTCTTTTAAGTTTCAATTGGATTTTAAAGGCCCAACTTAAGGTTTACCACGTTCCCTTCCCCTGCCCACCCTCCTCCCTGAAACCCCTAATTTTTTTTAAAACCAAAACCACTTATACATATCTTTTTCACTGCAATCTTCTAAGTCATTTGGTGACATCATGGGTCTATCTTTTTTTTCTCAGAAGTGCAAGAGGTGGGCCTTCCTCCTGGTCTAAATGGTGCTTACGTAATGAAATGTGAGCGCCACTCACTCCTGGAGTGCTCTGAGCCCAAGCTGCATGATGACCAGCTCTATGACTAGTGGACCAGTGGTGCTGGATGAAGGAGAAAGCTGGGGACAGTGCTTGAGTATGAAGAGGGCAAGAAGAGCTTCACACATTTTTATTAATGTAGGAGAAGGAGCCCAAAAATGTAAAAAAAAAGATTGACCTTCTACGGTAAAATGCTGCTGACACCATTTCTGCGTCTCCCGGAAACTTTGTTTTAGAATCCTAAACATACCAACTAAAAATAAATAATTCTGCTTTCAGGTAGGCGCCGTGTGGCAGGGCACTAAATTGTGTTTCTGTGTTACTCGTGTTATTTTTACTCTTTTAAGCAGCAATCTTTTGAATTATTTACTGGCCTTGAAAGAGCATTTAGTGAATAAAAGCTGAGAACCAGCTGGATTGTCAAAATGCTGAACATCTAGTTACACCACAGGTATATAATGTTAGCAGTGACAGTGAAGAAAAATCTTATGCATGGTCGTACCTGTATTAAATATGAACATGGTCTCCTTGACTACAAAAGGGGAAATTGCTTTCTGAGGTTTAAAATGGATATAACCTAAAGATAATGTTGGTTGCCACATAACTATACATGAAAAAAAACATTCCTATTTCTAAAATGCAGTTTATGGCGGTAAAATCTGAACAGAAAGGACCAATCAGATATTTTTTGGGATAGAGTATGAAATGGTTAAAAACCCCTATCAGGTTTTCTTGATAAACCTGTAGACAACATGCAATGAGAGAATATCTCTCCAAGGTTTGATAAATCCTCTGTTAGGGCCCATTCACTCCATTCATTGCAGCAATGCACATTACATACACATATTTTGAATGTCACCCCAACACACCTTGCAATGCACCTGCATTAGAATGTTGTGTGCTGTGTTGGAACAAAGACTGCAGGTACCTGACCACTTTGGTATGTTGGAAGCCCCTTCAAAGTTAATAGGCTGCTTTAACATAAGCCACATTAACATGCATGCATTAACAAAACATACAGTACCAAAACAAACAGATGTGATTAGGCTCTTAGCTGCCACCAGAACAAGTATCCCTACTGGAAAATTCACCATCTATCCATGTTCTAGGGGAAACTAAAAAGTTTGGATTTG